CCATTAATTTTAGAAACTACTAACAATTGCTGCTAATAATCACTTCTGTGGCACCATTTTCCATTTTGATCTTCCTACTAAACTTAATTAGGCACACAACTCAGACAGAAAGTGTGACGCTGAGGAGAAAATTTCGGTTACGGTCAAGAATTCAAGAGTATGCCACACCCATGCACCCACATGCATATTCTGGGAATTTGGAAGATGCCTCCTCAGAATTAGGAATGGCAATTACAAAATAAATTCAAAATTTGCTTAAAAATACTTTAGCCCAAGCCAATTAGCCCATTTCCAAATAAGAAAAATAATTGGGGCAGTAAATGGGGACGAGGACTGCCATGTTGTGTCGTGCACCGCCCCTCTTTAAGAGGGGATCGGTGCCATCCCTACTCGAAATTCTAACGTAACCATACAAACTTAAGAAATAAAACGTCAGCCATCATTCCTAATGAACGCAAAAGACAAAATCTAATGTGCAAAGTTAATACTAGATCAGATGGAAGCTTGCAAGCTTGGAAAGTAAAGGTTTAATCGTTTTCTTTACTCTATAGTGACAAACCTGGGGTATAACGGTCTGAATTTCTTCAGGGACAGCTTCGATGACTCTCTCATATATCTTTGAATTTTGTTTCCCTTTTAGAAGGTCCATCTTGTTCACAACCACCACCAAACCTCGTCCTTCTTCTACTGCTCGCCGCGCTATGACTACTTCAGCATGTTTCATGCTCCGTCTATCTCTCGCAATCTAATCAGCACAAACAAAAGAAAAATAGCATGCATGTGACAGATGTGACAGTGTGAGTACTGAGTAGGAACCAGACAGAAATATGTCATAGAAATTACCAAAACTAAGGGTACGTCTAGCAAGATGTTTACAAATAGGGGTATATGAGTGATGAAGAAGTGGGCAGTACTAGTGGACTGGATCCTATGAAATGTGAGGATAAAAAGTGGTTGACCAAAAGTATTTTTGACCAAGGTGTTTATAAACTCCTAGAAACTATGAGCCAACTTTTCCATTCATATTAAAGAGAACTAGAAGAATTACCCCATTCAGGATATACTGAAAAGTAACAGGTTATGATAAGAGCATAGCCTCAGGGCTCGGGAATCTACAAGGCTTTAAAATTTCTTAGAGGCCAGTTAACTTCAATTATAACCTTCTATGTTTTCATTAGGAAATTTTTTAATAAGAGAGCCCTGCTGATTTCAAAGATAACCTTCCATGTTTCTGCAAGGGCAAATTTTTTGTAGACTCATGCAGCACGAGTATACATCCAAATCCAATTACTCATCATGTAAGTTTGTAATATATATTTATCAGTGAAGTAAGACCTCACTCTTCCCCACAAGTATAGAATTTTAAGATAAAAGGGCTCACTATTTATTCAAAATTGGTCCATTTCTATTCTCCGGCTCAATTTAGGAATCGCCCTACTTTTAGTCTAAACATTGGGAGTGCCACGAGAAACAGACAACTAGAAGAGACACAAAAAGAGATATTTAAGTTGCAATTTCGCAAATTTTGCATGTGCATTTACTTTGTATTATCTTTGTTGCTGAGTATGCACCATGTCTTGTCTCAAGCCAATGCATAAAGAGGAAATGGTAGGAAAGGGATTGATCACGCTTTTAAGAGGCTGAAAACATCATCTTTCAGGAAAAAAAAAAAAGGTAGTCTCATGATGAGGTCATGAATTATGATGAATTGCAAATTTACAGGATAATGGAAAAGTGCAAAATGACAGAAATGCCAATAAATGGAAATGGTTACCAAACAAAGTTCTTAACAAGTCAACTGGACACCTCAATATAATGAAATAACTTCCGGTCGTAAATAAGATGAATCATACTTCAACATTATACCAATGAGAACCATGACTTCATATGGAAAATATTGAATACTGTTGTACAGCTAACGGCATTTATTAAGGGCGACCATAAAATTTCAACCATACATTTCATAGGACCACAACTTTTCAACCGTACGTTTCATCAATTTTTATCATAATCTACTAAAAATCTTATCTTAATCCCTACCAAACAAGGGCTGAATTTCCCTTTCCGATATGTCATTTTCGCTATTTTGCATTGAGTTGACAGCAGTTAAAATAAAGAAACAAACACTTCAAAACTGAAACCTACATTTGCCAATTCATGTTTAAAAGATTTTAATAGCATCATCACCTAATGGCCAGTAAAGAAAGCATTAAACCAAGCAAATGATAGGGGAGGGAGAGAGAGAGTCTAGAGCCCGGCATTATGTGTTGCACTGACCACCTAACGAAAATGTAAAACATTACATGACGGACCTCTTCAGCATCCAGAACTAAAGCGACCACATGCGCCCTCATAAGATGTTTTCTTGATTGCATAATGCTCAAGGATGATGCCCCCTTGTCTTGTTTTGTCCTTTCCAACCAACCTGCAGTGTCGACCTGAACCAAATATGTTCATAACTTCAAAATTCAACTATATCAAACTCTTGTTATAATAGTACCCAAGAAATCTGGAATGCAGAAATCTTTTGTTCTTGCTACAATAAGAACAAAGGCTTTTATACTACCCTGGAACAAAGGTTTACATGATGAAAACAGAAAATGCATCGCCCGAAGGCCACAAGAACAAATATTTTGCTTCATGTTTTAGGCATGACAACTTAACATATTAAGCAGTAACTATAGAAAACAAACCTTCTTCCTGTGTGATTCTCGGGAATATACCCATTGGATTGAGATGTATAAGATATGCCATAATGTCAAATGGGGAAATTCTCCAAATCTAACAAAAGTCAGGACCAGTGGAGTATTCAATGGGAAATTGCTTCATGTTCATTTTGGTTGTGGACATGAATGCAGTTTAACATAAGCAGGTCAGAGATAGCTGTGCTTCTAGAATTCAACCGAGGAACTTACACAGTGGATGGACAAATCATCATAGGAATTAATATAAAATGATAAAATAGAATATTAACATCTTCAACGCGGTAGAGAAACTATAAGCATGAGAAACTCGGTATTCACCAGAAATATGTTTCTCCCATCGTACTGGAATTGAACTCGAATTGAATCTCTGGTCAAACCAGCCTCAGGTCCAACCAAAACTCGATTTTCTTGCAAGATTGCATTTAGCAACGTTGACTTTCCAACATTTGGCCTCCCTACGATTGCCAATTGTAGTGGGAGCTTAGACTCAATGTCCTCATCCTCACGGGAGCCAATTTGGTGGATATCCTCATCTAGCTTGGAAAAGTGAAAAGCATGAAATGCCAAGCAACTAATTATTGATTACAGAAGGCAAGCTACAGATTAAGCACCAAAAGAGATGGTAACAATGTATAAACTGTAAGCTTAGACTGGTGTTTGTAAATTTAAGAGACACACGATTCAGTAACATAGAGATGAGGCACTGCATTTAGCAAGGGAAAAAGAAAAAGAAAGTCTTCTCACACAAATGAATGATCTCCTTTTCACTTTACGGTTTTGTCATTTCTTTCATAAATAATCTAACTATTGCACACACAGCTGCAAGCTTCATAACCAGGCTTCAAGTTATATATATTCACAATAACAAAACCCTACTTGAACATATCTGGGTGGAACAGTATAAAAACATATAAACCTATTACCCATATGGGACAAGAAAATCATGAAACCTTGATCTATGTGGCCTCTAGCATGAGCAATACGAAAGAACTTTTATGCAGAATCAAATATACCAATGGCTTTAAAGTCGTCTAACTCCCGAGTTATTACAAAATTTATATCAGTGAGGTTGATGGAATATTAGAATGGGATGTTATGATATTTAGTTTCCAATTATGTTGCGTATTTTAGGAAACATTATTAGGGTTTGATTTAATAGATTTCATTATATATTTCCGACATAGAATAGAATCATTGAAACCCTGTATCAAGGGGTGTTATGCTTTTGTAATTAACTGATTATATGACATATTGATATTTCTTCATCGCCCTCCATTCTTATCTTTGCACCCATTTCTCCTTCTTCTCTTCCCTTACCCCTTCTAACATAATTGTTCTGTAGCATCCTACGTCAGAGGTTCACCAAAAATTTTAAAAACTCAGTCATTATTTTTTAAAGTCGTGTTCAATCCTACATCGTGACAAAACAGATTGGTCATTCCAAATCCAGTTCCTACAGCAAAATGTGACCAGAAATAAAAGAGGATGCTCTAATAAATAACAAAAGCAATTAGATTGACCATAGACAGCAAAATAGAAGAGAAACGACTTATTCATACATTCCAGAAAGCTCTAATCCATTGCTTTTCTTTTTAGCTGACCAATGCACTTTCCAAATAATAAGATGTATCCACAAACATTCAGAAGACAAAAGGACAATGAAAATCTATAGACATTCTGTTTTTAATGCAGCATTAGAGAGTGGGAGGGAATATATGCTCCTCTTCCCTTGCTCTATTACACCGATTAGGCGATTACCGCAGATGAAGAATAGGACATCGATTATCTCTAACAAGTAACACCCCATACTCCAGTACCAGCCATTATTTTTGAATTGATCCCTAAACTTTCAAATACTTACCATTAGTTCCTAAATTAAAAAATATAGTCAACTACTGGTCTACAAGGTATTATAGGAATAATATGCAGGGTTGGAAACCATTAAACATACTAATGACGTATACAATCAGTTAAAGATTTGATGCATATAAATTAAAAACAAACAAAGTGTTAGTTCAAGATGATTGAAAACTTTAATAAATGGGTTTCTTACCTTTTAAGATGCGGAGCACGTAGTCCTCCAGCAACGGCCTTAAAGCTTCATATAGTTCTGTCATTCCCAATCCAGTTTCAGCAGACAAAGCAATGGGATCACCAAATCCTAATGTGTAAGCTTCACCAGCAGCAGCAGCTAGAGAACCACTGATGTCATCAAGCAACTCAGCTTTATTCATCACCACAAGAGTCTTGATTCCAGAAGCATGCTTCCTCAACCATTTTCCAACATCTAAATCCATGGGCTGTAGTCCATCTCTAGAGACAATGTGATGGAAAAAATATCTATTATCTTTCTTCATTTGAAAGAAAGTAATAAGATAATTACAAAGCAAAAAATTAGCATATTTTCTTTGTACTGTCTCAGAATTTGTGTACTGCTCATTGTACCTAAGCTCTATAGCACAGACACTTCAATTAGGCTAGCGTGTCCGTGTCCAACACGAGTCGATGCCGACACTTCTCGGGCACTCTACCGTAATCGTTTTTCTTTTTACATTAGAAATATTATATATTGTTAATTCAAAAATTATTAGCAAGTAACAAATAGGTACTCATTTTTAAAAAATTTTAACGAGAAAAATTAATAAGTATAAAACTAAATTTACGCCATATAAATGAAAATTTTTNATTAGGGTAGCGTGTCGAGTTGATACCTACACTTCTCGGACACTCTATCGTAATCATTTTTCTTTTTATATTAGAAATATTATATATTGTTAATTCAAAAATTATTAGCAAGTAACAAATAGGTACTCACATTTAAAAGATTTCAACAAGAAAAATTAATAAAAAGTATAAAACTAAATTTATACTATATAAATGAAGAATTTTTAAGAATTTAATCAACGTGTCGATGATATGTCGTGTCTGTACTTTTTTTAGAAATCGTGTGTTGGCGTATCCGACACGTATCGTGTCAGACACACGTGTCCGTGTCCGTGTCCGTGCATCATAGTACCTAAGCAACCTTCCGGGCATTCAGTGAAGCAGGAACATGATTTTTCACTCAATATGAAATTTTAGATTTTCATTTCTCTACAAATTCATGTCTTTTTCAGAATGAAATTGTATTTGGATCCTTCTGTTTTATAGCTTTTAAGTGCTCACGACTCACTTTCCACTCCACTAACGATCCTGCGTTCTCATGTTATATGGTTCTCAAATATTAGTTTGCCAAAAAATACATCTATAAGTTCGGTATCGATATGTACGGTTGCTTGCACATTAGGATGTTTCAATTGTAACGGTAAAATCCACATTCTAAAAAACTTACTAACAAGACTAACCTTGCATCTACTAGGAAGAGTGCAAATTGGGAGCTCGCCAATACAGTTTTTGTCATTGATGCTGTTCTGCCAAGAACAGAACTTGACGAAACCTCTGCTTCCAAGCCAGCTGAATCCAAAACTCTAAACCGCAAATCTCCCAATTTAGCAACCCCATCTCGTATATCCCGTGTAACATGGTCATTAGGAGTGTTGTAAACAAGGGCCTCCCTCCTTCGTATCAAACTGCAAATCACATGTTGAAGACTAAAGGATGGCAAAGACAATATGCATTGTGAGGTTCAAATGTTAAACTCTACAGCAATGATGGTAGACAAGAAAAATCTAACCGATTAAATAGTGCTGACTTCCCAACATTTGGACGTCCTATAATAACAACAGTTGGAAGCTTGTCAATATCAATTTTAGTGAAATCAATTGATTTTCGAGGCATCGGTTCAGTTTTTCTGTCACCGGCACAATCAGCATCTGCAGTATCGATATCAAACTCTTCCATTTCACTATTAATGCCACCAGAAGATAATGAACCAGCAGAATCGAACAAATCCTTCTGTATTTCTTGTTCTGAAGATTTACAGAAATTCCTTGCTTCTTGATAAAGATGGGTATGTAGTGTAGAGATTCGTCTTCCATTATTGGAACTCAACGGTGTTGCTCCAATGCGGATAATTGACAAGTTACAAAATACTGATCCTAATCATCACAAACACCATCAATTATTAAACTCAAATATAAAACTGAACGAATTTACAACTAAAGCTAGTGAGTCAACATACATATAGGTGCATATACACATTCATTCCATTAGTCCACCTGAGGCTGAAGCCAATAACTAGATTCCTGAACAACAATTATATTTTCGACCCTGGTTTGAGCTTTTTAGTGCCAAAACAACCAAACGAATAAATGCACTGGCACCGTGTATATAATCAAATAAACAAACATGCCTATTTGTCAAATTCAGAACCTTTTTCATGCGAAGTGCAAGAAAAAACAACTATCCATGCATGTGCGCGCATTACCTGATTTTAACTTAACTTCACAGTCTGCATTTGGATGGACTCTTTTTTCATTTTGAGAAAATTTGCTAATTGGGTCGTTGGAACAAGTTTGTATAGTGGCAGTTCTAGAGCATAGACCGAGGCCAGGTCGAGCTTTTCGGGCTGCAAAAACCCATAAACAATGCATTCCAACAATATCAATTTATGGTTGATTAATTGACATTTGTAACTAGGGTTTTTCCTCAGGTCCACATTGGTTGGTGGTAATTTCCACCTGAATAATAATGCAAAAACATCAGAAAATCAGTGTTACTAAGAATTTTAGCACTTAAACATAGTTTTGCACATTCGGGGAAAAGAAATTAAGCTTTAAAGGTAAACTTACACCGGAAATTCAAATTAGGGTTGAGGGTTTAGGGGATTTACGGCTGGATCAAAATTCCTGGTACAGCCATAGGTCCACAAAAAATAGGTTAATTTCAGCAAGAGTCACCCAAGTTTGTTAAGGATTTCAAAATAACTATAGAAGCAATTTCATTACAATAGTAGTAGTTACACAAAGGTAAACGCTAATTTCTTCAAAATTGAGTTAGTACAAAAAAGGAATGTAAAAGGAGTATATTAATGGAGGTCTCACTGCTTTTCACTCCATTTTTTTTTTTTTTGGTAAATTAGGCCTAATGCCCTATTAAAGTAAGGGAAAAATTCATAAATAAGGTGTATACTTTACACCAATTCAAAAATCAGGCTTTTTTTAATTTTTATTTATGAAATAATAAATTATTAAATCAATTTATTATTAAATATTTAATTCTAATATAATATAATTAACACATCCCGCATGCACCATCCATACCGCTCCGGGGACTATTCTGGCGATCATTCCGACCACCACTCTTCTCCGGTGACTATTCCGACGAACGTTCCGACAATTATTCCGGTGACCATTCTGGTCACAGATTTACAATTTACGGCTACAGTTCAAAAATTTTGTAGGTTACAATTAATTCGTTGGTCACAGATTTCAAAATTAGTTGGTCACATATTAAAATTTATAGGTCACACATTCACAGATTTCCAAATAATTGATCACAAATTTTTTTATGGTCACAAATTATAAAATTTTTAGGTCAC